GTTATTTATTTATTTATATCCCACCCAAATTGTTGGGGACAATATGCTGACCCTATAAACCAGGGATCCCCAACCTTTTCGACGCCGCGGCCCGGTTCCGGCATCAGCTGGGCACCGCGGCCCGGTACCGGCGTCAACTGGGCGCCGCCATCTTTTTATGACGAAAAAGCTCTTCCGGTGAGCTTTCTACCCGGAAAAGCTCACCGGAAGTGCTTTTTTACCAAAAAAAGATGGTGGCGCCCAGCAACCAGCGGCCCGGTAAGGCTTGTTCCGCGGCCCGGTACCGGTCCGCGGACCGGCGGTTGGGGACCCCTGCTATAAACCACTTAGAGAGGGTTGTAAAGCAGTGTGAAGGAAGTCTAAGTGCTACTGCTACTGCTATTATTATTTTTACAATAACTCAAGGTGGTGAACATATCCACCAGATCTTCCTCTTCCTATTTTCTGCACAACAACATCAGATGAGGTGAGTTGGGCTGAGAGAGAGTTCCTGGCCCAAAGTCACCCATCTGTCTTTCATGGGTGAGGCAGGACTTGAACTCACACTTTCCAAGCCTGGTGCCTTAATCACTAGACCATACTAGCTCTTAGTATGATATCTGACTTAAAATATAGTAGAAAAGACATACGTGCAAAAATAAGTATACCAGAGAGGAAAAAAAATCACACAAAAATGTATATTTTAAACCTTGTTTAAAATTGCAAACGTATACTGCAGCAGGAGTACATGAATTTAAGGTTGAAAAAAAATCACGCACCTCTCTAAATCAGATACAGTAATTATTAATAGATGTTAATTCCTTTTCTGTCATATCCATCCTTTCAAGCAAAAGTAAACAATACTAATTACTCATACTAATATTAATAAACTGTACTCGGGCATGAAATTATATGCTATATCTTTTCTGGGCCATCTCTTGCATTTTTTAATTTATTTCTTTGTTTATTAACATTCCTATCCCATTCAAATCCAGAGATTTCCAGAAAAAACTGCAAATATAATTGGCCTTAATACTCACTCATGTTTTGGTTTAAAGCAGGTCTATGATATTTTTCTCTCTTTTAAACTGTAAACCATTTAGATTTTTAAAGACATTAAATGGTCACTGACTAGCCATGGTCTTTCTTGCTAGTTAGATATAAAGGAGACAAATGAGACATTTGTTTTCTTTTACTATTGTGTAATGTATTCTTTTTCTTTGGTTTTCCTTTTGTATGCCACCCAGAACGGTTGAGAAATTGGGCAGCTTTAGAAACAGGAGTTATACATATATAAATCCACCAACATATCAATAAATAAATATGAAAATCAATACAACAATGCATAGATCAGACTGACTAGGGACAAAATTTGTGTCTCCAACCATGGCAACTTTAAGCCCCCTCCCCTTTTCCTCCTCTTTTAATCCCTATGGGAGGGCCCATTCACCGTCCATCTGTGACCTTCCTTATTCCCATGTCAACCCTTAATTTGTAATTGTTCTTTTTTTTTTTTTTTGGCAGCTCTGTGCATGCATGGACTGGAAACCAGCTCCAGCTGCTCCCCCACCTCACTGCTGTCCAACTCTGAAGGCAGCTGATGACTGCCAGACTGCCCTGGCCCCATCTCTGCCTCTGACGCAGAGCCTTCACCTGAGCCTTCCTAGCCTCCAGGACTGGCCCATGTTCCTTCCCAACCTTCTCACTGTCCGACTCTGCTGACAGCTCCACTAGCCACCGGCAAGCCACAACACCTATAAACTTTGATTTATCAGACTGTAATACAATGGATTTCTTATGTAGTGGATCAAATTTCCTTGGCAATTTTCATCATTTGGTAACATTACTTGGGTTGAAGGCCAAGACTTTTTCTAATTCTTGAAATTAAATGTTAAACCTTCAAAGCTTAAATGTTAAAACTTCCGAAAGTAACATAATTTCTTTATCACATCTGAGGCCAGCAAGCTCAATTCCAGCCTTCTACACACACACAGTCTACATCTACCAGGGCATACCATGAATAGTAGAGATCTATATCTCCAAAGATACAGATTGGACACCTGCACTGAAATAATGAATGTCCCCATTTTTCTTGTGTGCATCATGCACTTTCGCCAAAGCACAAAATGTTCAAGGCTGAGGAAAATGTAGAAAGAATAAGAATATATACTGTATACACATACACACACATACACCCCATGTAATTCATGTCTACCTATATGGAGAGTTGTATACAAATTGAATGTTAGAATTCATCCTTTAAATACACATCCAGTATTTTCTGTAAATAACCACAACCATTCTTCAAAATATTGTTTCTATGGTAGAATCATATATGTAGTTTTCTTGTCCAAACATGTTTCTTTTCAGATGGTGATTAAGCCCCCCCCCCCATAAGGGACATTTCAGAAAGAAGATTCCCCTTATAATGAGCCACGGTTGCACAGTGGTTAGAATGCAGTACTGCAGCCTACTTCTGCTAACTGCCAGCTGCCTGCAACTTGGCAGTTCGAAACCCACCAGGCTCAAGGTTGACTCAGCCTTCCATCCTTCCAAGGTGGGTAAAATGAAGGCCCAGATTGTTGGGGGCAATATGCTGACTCTGTAAAACTGCTTAGAGAGGGCTGTAAAGCACTGTAAAGCAGTATATAAGTCTAAGCGCTATTTCTATTGCTATTCATTCAAGCCGTTTTGTTTTCTCACCCCCACACCAAACATCCATTTGTTGGCATTCAAAATAATTGCTTCTACTGTAATTTTCCACTGGTGGTGCCACCATTGTTTTCATGAAATTACCCATCTGGCCAGTGACAATGACATAAATTTGGTTATGTGACAGCATCATTAGGAACTAACACTAATTTAAAAAGAGAAAAAGACAATCTGAAAACAAGAGCAATTGTGCAAAAGTGGCTCTTTGTGGGATTATAAATATGATTGCTATATCATGAAAGACAAACACTTGGAGGTCACTTAGGAAATTTTTAATTACAAGTACCTAGCCAACCTTAAATGACCTCTCCCAAAGCTAAATATTGTCAGACCTAGTTAGCATTTGAGTAAAAGTGCATGGGAAATTCCTTAAATAAATATTAAAAACTATTCAAAAAGAAAACAATGGTAAACAACTTCCATGTTACTTCCTAGAAAATGACATAGACCCTCCCATAAAGTTGACTTGAAGCAATCATGTACATTAGCAATAGCAATAGCACTTAGACTTATATTCTGCTTAATAGTGTTTTATAGCTCTAAGTGGTTTACAGAGTCAGCATATTGCCCCCAACAATCTTGATCCTCATTTTACCCACCTTGGAAGGATGGAAAGCTGAGTCAACCTTGAACCAGTCAGGATCGAACTGCGGCAGTCAGCAGAATTAGTCTGCAATATGCATTCCAACCATGGTGCCATCACTGGTCTCTAAATAGCAATAGCATTTAGGCTTACATACTGATTCATAGCTCTTTAGAGCACTCATTGGGTGGTTTACAATGTAGAAGCATGATTTGCATATTGCCCCCAACAATCTGGGTCCTCATTTTACCTTACTCAGAGGGATGAAAGGCTGAGGCAACCTTGGGCTCTGTCAGGATCTAACTCCAGGCTGTGGGCAGAGTTAGCCTGCAATACTGCATTCTAATCACTGCACCACCGGGGCTTATTAATCTTACAAAGAAATAATCCTCATCAACATCTTTCCAGAAATGTCATGTTATTAACATGGAAAATTTATAGTTGAAGGTATTTAAACTAGCAGTTTTCAAAAAAAAAAAAAATCAATGTAATTGGCATCCATGATACAGTTAAAGGGAGCAACAATCCATGGTCCACTTAATCCATAATATTGACATCAACAATAGATGTCTTTGAATTTATATAAGATTGCAGATAGTGATATATTCGTTTAACCATAATAAAATGAGCTTGTGTAAAGATCATACATAATTTTTACAATGAATGGATTTCAGATTGCCAATGATAGCATTCATAATTCAGTTAAAAGCCCTCAAACCAAGTTTATTGCTATAATGGTTAATGCCTTCCAGGTTATTTGGACTGTAAGTCTTCCTTTTATCCATCTTAGTTTAATTAAATTTTCCAAACTGTTATATTATCTAGAGGTAGAATCACCTTGTGTATAACATACCCATTGATCATTTGAGCATTTGATTCCTTATGTTATAATACAATAAAAGTACAATACTCATCTGAGCACAGAAACAACCCTTAAATTCTCTCTAGCAGAGAAGCTTGAGGGCACTCCTTTCTCTATCAGAACTGATGAACATGGTATGGAACTGAGACAAACCCAATTTTTTAAATTGTGTTTTATATTATGGCTTTTAATGCACAAAGATTAGCACTGTTACATTCCTCATTCTCTCATAACATTTGCTATGAATGATCATCAAATGAGCAAACTTCCCTAGTGATCTTTCCCCAAACAGGGCTAAATAGATGGCGGGAGAAGACCTTCTTCCAAATTAAAGCATAGATTATGTTTCCAAGGGGAGCCCATGAAGATGAGGCTGCTATCCCAGACCACAGAGTGATAGAGAACTACTATATTTAAGGATCCTCAGCATCTAGAGACTTGTGAAATTGCATTCCATCTTATGGGGCATTTTTATGTAAGAATAAATTTCAAGGTTACTTTCTTGCATTGGGGATAATTTGTTAATTTGTCTTTGATGAAAAAAAATCACAGTAGCTAAGAAATAGTTTATAGCACAACAAATATGTTTATGAGATTTGTTTTTACTAAGTAGAATTTATCTTCACGAGATGAAGCTTTATGGCTGTGATCCATAACTTTTCAAAATAGAAGTTTAAGTTATTTATGAATCCCCATATAAAAGTACTTTATTGCATACAATCATTAAATATTTGAAGAACACTAGTTAAACAAAATCTTTTTATATGAAGTGAAATGAATATAGCTGAAATTAAGTCAATGAAATGTAATCACAGGGGTTTGTGCATGTGTGTATTCCCAGTTTCAAGTCTACGTTTATTTTTGCTAGTGCAAACACTGAAAAAATCTCCTAATCCTTCTGAGTGCAACCAGTTTTCTTTGCAATAATTTATTGAAGGCATCCTTTACTTCTTCATTTCTCAAGGTATAAATCAAGGGGTTTAACATAGGAAAAACCACAGTATAAAAAACAGAAACTATTTTGTCTGTATTCAGGATATAGCTGGAGCTTGGCCGCAAATAAGTAAAGAGAAGGGTTCCATAATACAAAGCAACTGCTGTCAAGTGGGAGGTACAAGTTGAAAAGGCCTTCTGGCGGCCTTCAGCTGAATGGATCCTCAAGATGGTGCAAATGACATAGGTGTAGGAGATGACAATCAACAAAAAAGTGCTCATTTGGATGAAACCACACAAGGCAAAAAGAAGAATTTCATTAATGTGAGTGTTAGAGCAGGAGAGAGCTAACAGTGGAGGGATGTCACAGAAGAAATGATTGATGATGTTGGATCCACAAAATGACAAATGAAATGTATAATAAGTGTGAATTAGTGAAGTCACACTACCAATAAGATAAGAGCCAACTACCAACCCGAAACAAACTCTGTGGGACATAAGAGTGGGATAAATTAGTGGGTTACAAATAGCCATGTAACGGTCATATGCCATGGCAGCCAGAAGAAGGCACTCAGCATCTGCAAAAGAAGCAAACACATACATTTGTGTAATACATCCTGCAAGTGAGATTGTTTTCTTTCCAGTTATGAAATTGAGAAGCATTTTAGGTGTAATGGCAGAAGAATAACAGAAGTCTAGGAAGGCCAAGTTGCTGAGGAAAAAGTACATTGGACTGCGGAGGCATCGACTGATCCAGATTAATATGATGATACCAATATTTCCTACCAAAGTGACTAGATAGATGGCTAAGAAGAGAACAAAGAAGACAACCTTGATCGTATGATGATCGGTGAAGCCAAGAAGAACAAACTCAGTCACTGTTGTTTGGTTCCATTTGCCCATTTTTTCTGCTTCTTTATTCATTTATTCTGAATAAAGTGGAGCCTGGGATAGCTGATCAGTTGTTGCAAAAACTTGTTTCCTTCAGACTTCATGCACTTTCTGAAAGAGATAATTAATACTGTAATTAATCACCTGCTCTAAACTTTCAATTAAATTGTTGCAATCTATCAATGTAAGAATCTTCTCTAATGTTCCCATAATAGCACTAATGGTCCTAAGTGTAACATATCAATTAGATATATTGAGAAGAAGATAATAGATGTAATAATGTGATAAATGATTATATTCATATTGATTGACTATATTACTGAACGTTTACAAAATTAAAGCGAATTAAAGAAGAAGAAGAGGAAGAGTTACAAAATGGTGATGAATGGTGATTTTTGTTGCAACTGTTTAAGATATTAAATGATTCTTAATTGCATTTAACATTACAATCTGAACTTCTATGTTGTTTTTTTGAACATGTTTAACATGCTACTTTAACACATTTTAACATGTTCCTATAAAGGAAGATACTTTTAAAAAAAAGTCTGACATTGTTTAATCCTTGGGACTATTCTTTTCACTCTGGCCTATTTTTATTTCAGGATGATTAGGAAATTACTAAAATTCATAGCTTCCAATTTGAGGCTAAACTAAAAAGATTTCAGTCCTTGAAAGGATTTTTTTTTACTGATGAATCATTAGGATATGAGGAACCCTATCTGAGTACCAAAAGAATCTGAGCCACCTTTCATCCTGAGGGAGCACTGCTGATTAAAAAAAAAAGCCATTACTTCCATGAAAGCAATGGCAGACTGAAGATGACTTCTCTTTTAACAGAGCTGATGATGATGGCAGAAACTGGATCCAGTGAATGACTCACTAATATCCCATAGTATATGTGTCATAACTTCACAATGCATGTTCCATTTATTCATATCATACAGATACATAAGGGATGGGATTTTTATCTCATGACATCACCACATTTCATTACTTACCCCTTGGCCCTTCCAAAGATGCCCGTGTAAGGCACCACTCAGTACAAGGTTTATTCAAGAGCAGCTTTGCCCAGAGCCTGTGAGGGAGATGGGCAGTTGATTAGAGAGAGAGAGAGACAGAGACAGAGAGAAAGAAAGAGACAGACAGACAGACAGAGGTAGGTAGGTAGGCAGGTAGGCAGGCAGGCATGCAGGCAGGCACGCAAGCAAGCAAGCAAGCAAGCAAGTAAATTCCTTTCTTTACAAGTTGTACCCTTCGGAGACACTGCAGACCATTTACAATTAGACATCGGCTGGTACTTTAAAATCTGGAAACTTTAAAATCTTTAAATTCCGGGTTGCTAATGACTAAACCACCATCTGTCTCTAAGTACTAATTTCTGGTCTTGGTAATCTAGATGATATGTGGACCCCTTAGTTCTTAAATTATGCTTATGTTAGAACTAGATTCTGAATCTTGAGCCTTCCCTGTCCTTGTGAAGAGTCTACTCACTGATGTATTAATCTGATTTCATATATACTGTATATTCATGTTTATTCATTCTGTTTTGATCTCTACCCCACCTTGAACCTCCACTCTACTATATGGATGAGAATGAATATGAACAAGCAGAATAGGAATACCATGAAAGCAGTGAAGGATTCTTTGGATTTCTCCCTTGTGTTTGAAGACAACCTGATTAGAGAAGAGAAAAACCTTAAATCAAATGTTCCCTTCAGCTTTTTCTCTAGCATCTATCCTCAGCTTTTTCTATTGCTGAGAAACCTTGTGACCAGAGTGAATAAAGTGAAGCTTTGAATCTAATAAACCAAAAACCCTTCTCTTCTACTATATTTCCTTCCCTTCAGGAGAAAATTTAAACCAAACATTGTTTCTCCATTATCTTTATTCTATTGGTATTCCACAGCATATTGATTCCTTTAGACCAATGCCATATTACAAGAGAAGTAACTCTTTCCTCCAAATCCTTCTCCAGGTAAAAGGTGTGCCAATTACTGCTATGACTAATATTGATAGGCTAACAATATTGGAGGAGGAATGAGCGCACAGAAAATAAGTTGCCTATTTTGCACCATATATGGAATATGGCAAGGACTGGATACTTGCTTTTGTCTTTAAATTAAAGCCAGGAATATGAGAATTATATACCACTTGGAAAGCTGGGAACCATTGTATCTTCTTAGAAATCTGTAACTATAAAATGCTAAAGCAAGGCTGGTATGAACTGAATGCATTCAATCTGGACACATTTCTGATTCATTTCCCCTCCTATAAAAATACAATAGCAGAACTTGCTTATGGGAAAGAATAAAGGGGAAAAAAATCAAAGTATTCCAAATCCAAGACTGTCAACATTTTCCTCACATTCTGAAGGAATATCAGAAGGTGGGGAAATTTGAATTGAGGATCTACAGCTGTTCTTCTCTGTCTTCCTATCTAGAGTATATATTTCACAGAATGTAAATGCCACCCTAGTCATTCACATTCATCTCTTCTTCTGAAGCATGGAGGTTCAAACATCATATGGCTTTTTAAATAGTCACTCAAGAACCATAGAATTAAACAATAAAAAGTAGAGAGTAAATCTGTTTTCCAAGAGAAGTCACCTGACTTCATTTGGTAGCACCTAACTAAACTACTACTAAAAAGAAGAGGTGAGTTTATGTATGCATAGCTATATGTGCAAAAATATTTTGCATTTAAAATGAAAATAATTAAAATTAAATTAATTGGAAGGACAAGCACACAAAAAAGAGGCTGCCTGTTTTGCATATATATGGAATTCAGATTATGATGATAATGACTAATTCCAAAACATCTAACTGATCAAATGTGATAATCATTATTATGACATGGCTATCAAAAACATGATGTAGAAAGTGATGTGTTCATATTCAGTATATCACTGCTGCTATTAAGTAAGATTCCTCTAAAAGAACTGTCTTCAACCCAGAGTTCTCAATCAAGACACACATGACCAGGGTCAAATTATCCTACTTTGGACATACTATGTGAAGACCTGTTTCTCTGGAAAAATCTCAGATGCTAAGAAAGATGGAAGGAAAAAGAAGAAGAAAGTGACTAGAAGCAAGATGGATGGACTCAGTTGCAGTGGTGATGAAGTGCCTGAAGGACCAGGTTAGATGTAGATCATCATGGAAAAGATCTACCAATGTGATCACTGGGGTCAACAGCAACTTGATGGCACATAATCAATCAAGCAAAAGGGCTGTCCAGTAATCAAATTAGAGGTACAATTTATCTCAGTCCCTGAACAAGATTCAGAAAGCAGCCTGGGGGTTCTGAAAGGTGTGTATCACTCAGCCTTCCTCAGCATTTAACTAAGGAGGTCTGTGCTTTGATTTGTCAGGTTGAATGTTTAGCTCATTCATTCCAGATTGATGACATTGTCAGCTATTTTAGATACTTTTGTAAAAAGGACATAATGACAATAAGGTGGATTGTGGTGCGTGAGGGACTCTTTTTCCAATTCCTTTTTTCAAACTTATACTTGCCAGTGCCAACTGTTGCATGGAGAACACAAATTTGAAGACTTCCTCCACTATCTATTCTCTGTCAAATTCACATTCCTACTGAACCATTATACATTTAAAAAGTGGCGAAATCTTTTTACTATCAAAAAATTAGAAAAGTCAGTCCAACTGCGACAAGCCAGGGGGCCTGGGGCTCACATTTGGTCTCAGCTAAGGCCTCAGACAAGACAGTTTTTCAGACTGAAAATGGAAAGAACTGTTAGAATACTAGTACTAGACAAAGAGTGAAAAGTATTGTGCAGATAACAAGATTTATATTGTGAATAATAAATGCTTCGAAATATACTTTCTTTCATTTTCATGAAAGAAGAAAACATTTCAGATGTGCCCTATTTAATAAATAAATACATAGCAATGACAGAAGAAAAAGAAGTCATATTTGCCTAAGTGTTTGTAAATGCTTTCCTTTATTAGTTCTCAGTTTTATCCCACTTGTTTTTTCATTTAATTAATGTAATACAACTAGCAGCTTACTATAAGATAAATCATAATTTAATCACTTTAGAATTACTGAAATACATTTTACCTAAAAAAATACACTTTTACTTCCACTAAATTTGACTCTTCTCTTTCACAGAGTTAAGTTAGTAATCTAGCAAGGCAATCTTACTGAAATACACTTTTGAGCTGCTTGTGGCAAGCATTAAAAAAGAATATAAAAGTGCAGTAGTACTCTGATAATACATTTCAAAAGTGACTGCAAAAAAAGTCATCACAAAATCTTACACTGCATGTTTACAAGTTATTTCAAAGCTTCACTGGCCTGTCACTTTTATTTTATCATAGAATAATGGTCATACCTTTTGGATGACAAGCATGGTTATCCAATTTCATTGCTGATGATGGACAAGAGAATGTTGAGAGTTTCTTTCCATCTAACATATTCTCACTTTGGGAAAGGAAAAAAAAAGACTTCAAAGATTTGCCTTTGAAGAAAATTAGGATAATTAAAATAAAAATTAGGATAATTGTGTCTCTTGGGGTGGAGCTTAATGACATGTAGAAAAGTTGTCCTGAATAACTGAATGAAGTTTCTAATATTTTCTCAAACTTTTATTAACCATTTCAAAACCCAAGTACTTTTTTTCACAAAACCCAAGGAAGTTGTATTTTAGCAATGAGGAACAATAACGAATCCCTGTTTAAAATTTAATCGAAACATCATAATTTTGTTGCTAGCAAGATGCTTAGCATGGGTAGGAAGTAAATTTGGTGAAAGGCCAAATTTAGGGTTGGGTATCATCTTCTAGATAGAAATTTGTAACAATCACAAATTCATTGCTTTAATTATTCTTAACAGAAAGTTAGTTTCTTATACAGAATAGGCCATGTGCATGCCTCTTGGAGAAAACAGGAGAAAACACAGGAAAAAAACTTTCCCTGTATACTCAACAGTTGTATTGCTGATAGCAGAGTAACCAAGCTACTCAACCAGATTCACAATAATTAAGGTAAATCCACAAATAGTCTTAAACTGTT